ATTCCGGATACTATTATTTTGCTTGTCGTATTATAGGAGAATTTACGGTAACTCGCAGTATTTACCGGTAGCTTGCGGTAGACTGCGTACAGCGTACAGGAAAATAATGCGGTATCGCCCGCACATTTTAAATGGCTGCATCTGTAGTTTCAACATATTGATGAGCTGTTCTCCTGTTAGTGGCAATTGTAAAAATAAACCTTCTTCTTTGTTTAACTTAAAGAATTCAGCAAAGGAATCCTTATTATTATAGGATTATAGAATATAGGATTATTATAAGTAATCACGAAACCATCACTTATAATAATTCATCCAGATACACACACTCACGCAGGAACCAACAACAAGCTATAATAGTAGACTATTTTTATGTATTCAGCTATGTAAGAAACAAACCGGAAGTAATTCTCTGATCGGGCTTTGAACCGCCAGGGTGCAGTGTGCTACAGTCCATCGTCCATTACCACTATAAGGACAATAAAACATAAAAAAACAAATGTCAAAATGTTTCCAAAATGTGCACTTGTGATATCTTAGCTGCTTAGTTACACGATTTCATATTAATATAAATATCAAATGGTATTAAACCCGTACAACTTTTTTTACAATAACAGCAAGTGGTGTCCTTACTATGTATTCTTAGAACAGGAAAAAAAAAACATGATAACTTTTTATGAAGTATTGTATATAAACTTTATAATGTTAGAACAAGCATGTTGAGACAATAACCCACTGTATGTTACCAAGCTAAAGACATTGAAGCTTAAAATATTTATGAAGAGGGTATACTGTTGTGTACTTTTGTTCAACTGAGCAATTTTGCTTTTCTGAAATACTTACTTTTTAATCAGTTAAATGTTTGATGTGCTGTAACACACTTTAAAATTATTAAAAGTCTTCACATGCCACAATAAACTTTCACTGTTCCAACTGGCGGTTTTACAAAGTAGTACAGTCCCACAACTGAGTAAACCATAATACCTGACCCACAAAATACTGCATTATCCCCAGTGCTTTCTGAATGGCTGGATCTGTACAGTATGCTGAATTAGTAGTTTTTCTTCAGTGATATCTTTAATCAAAAAAGGTTGAATACTTCCAAAAGAGATGCATTGGCGGTTCAGGCTGGAGTTTCATTCCTGGCCAATGCACAAACGGTAGACTTTATATATTCCTTTTATTTAGTAGCTAGGGCTACTATTATTGTTAATATTAGTTTAATAATTAATCTACTGTGATATACTGTATATATAATTAATAAAACATGTCAGTATAGTATACATATTGTTTATTCTATTTTATTTTTACAGAAAAGTCCAAAGGGACAATTTGTTAAGGTGGCAGGCAAGCTTAATTAAAAACTAAAGCATTTCTTAGTCATGTATTATTTTGTTTAATTGAAATTTTATTTTCCATTAAACAGCAAATAAATATGATGTATGATATATAAACATTATATACAAACACCAATAATTAAAATTGCTGACGTAAGAAATGCTATCAGAAATAAAACCAATTGAACCAGAAGTGTATTGAAATAAAACAATATAAACAAAAAAATGCCAAATGGATATTATGAATATTATTTTATAATTGTATATGTACTTATATAACTTATGTTTGTTCAGATATCTGTTGCTAATAAATTATTTTTACTTTTAAATTACTTTAACAAGACATTGGTAACTATCTGCTTGGAGTTTGTATGTTTTTCCTATGTGAACAAGATACTGGTCTTATTGACAAAAGAAATACTGGTAGATTAGCACCTTTTGAGAAAATTGTCCCTGGTGTGAGTATATGCGTGTGATTTTTTTCTGTGGTGTGCCAAGTGGTGGGTGGATGTGTGCCCTACCTTCTGCCGTTTGCTTGCAGGGTTAGGCTCTGGCTTCCCTGTGACACTGGAAGAAAATGGATGGTAAGATTTATTATACAGTATAATACTACTGTACTTTACACAATGATGATTCATAAAAATAAAATGTTCAGCATGGCAATACTAAAAACAAAATCTTTTCTGTAAATTGTTTATTTTCTATAAATATTTTATTTTTTCATATCCTTCTATGAAATCAAACCAATAGTAATGCAAATATGCATTAACTCCCAGGCACCCCTGTCTCCTGTCAGAGTCTCTGGAATTCTGAGTCATGAACAGCTCCAATGTCACCCTGCACTCTGAGTTCATCATTGTGGGAGTGCCAAGCCTGCAGGAGCACTACAATGCACTCTTCATTGTCTTCCTCATCCTCTTCCTGGCCACCTTCCTGGACAATCTCCTTATCGTTCTGTTGGTAAGCCTGGACCACCGACTCCATTCTCCCATGTTCATCCTGCTGTGGAACTTGTCCCTCTCAGATATTTGTCTGACGACAACCATTATACCAAAGTTATTAGAGGTTCTGCTGGGACATGGCAGCAGTATTTCCTTCCCAGGCTGTTTTGCACAGATGTATTTTTTTATCTCATTTGCTGCTGTTGAAGAGTTCCTTGTTGCAGCCATGGCTTATGACAGATATGTTGCTGTAGTGAAACCACTGCATTACAACACCATCATGAGCACCAATGTCTGTATTACAATGGCAGCCATAGTCTGGGTGCTGGGCTTCCTTGCACCTCTTTTGTCAGTAGTATTGGCAAGCACTTTGCCATTCTGTGGATCAAATTATGTCTTGCACATTGTCTGTGACTACCCCACTGTGATGTCATTGGCCTGTGGTGATGTTACAGGTCAAGTCAATTATACCTTGATAGTCGCCATGATTGTAATCTATATCCCCTTTCTCTATGTCCTATGGACATACTGCAGAATTGTGTGGTCAGTGATAAAAATGAAAACTGTGGAGAGCCGTCAAAAGGCCTTCTCAATGTGCTCTTCACACATGACAGTGGTCTTCCTGTACTATGTATCTGCTGCTGTGGTCTATATTGGGTTGAGAGTGGAAAGTATCCCCCCAGAAGGACGCATCTTCATTGGTGCAGTGTACTATTTCCTCACCCCTTTGCTCAACCCCATCATTTACAGCTTAAGTAATGAAAAAATCAGGGCAGCAGCTTACAGATACTTCAGACTACAGGCTCACTGCAATATAAAGAATACTGTCTACCCAAGTCCATAATAGAGTTAAAGACATTTTAATGTAATACACTCTGAAAAAGGAACACAGGGCAGCAGTGCACAGTTATAGGCATTGAATTGAGTTTTAGGTTTACTGAAAAAGTAAGAAGTGTTCTAGTTCTATGTATTTTAATAATTGCTTGATGATATCCTATGTTTTTTAGATTTTAATTATTGGCAGTTAATAACCTGTTAGCTAATTTTTTTGGCAAATTAATAAAAAAATGTTCCTGTATATTTAATTAATATATTATTTTTAATAAAGTAAATATTGGAATTTTACACTAGATGTTTGGGCATTTTCATGACCCTATCATTAATCTTGCATTAAGCACTTCTGGACCTTGTCAGCTCATACTTCCATTCTGGACTTTGCAAAAGAGTGAATATCAGTAGAATGTACAAAATGAATTGAAAAGCTATTCATAAAAATAAACTTTATTTTATATAGTGCTTTTAAAGGTGGCTTCTCAAAGCACTTAATGCAGTCAAATCTGATTAAATTCTCAGTACTTTAAAGTTAAGTCAATGTTTAACAGAATTATACTTAAGTTTGCCCAGTCTTGAATTGTATCTAAATCTGTTGCTAATTTTCTTTATTGTCTCTAAAATGTTTGCT